TAAAATCACCAATGACAGTTTATACTGGAGAGGATGTGGAGAAAGGGGAACACTTCTCCACTGCTGGTGGGAGTGCCAACTTGTACAGCCACTTTGGAAATCAGTAAGGCGACTCCTCAAGAAAATGGGAATGAGTCTACCACAAGATCCAGCAATTCCACTCCTAGGCATATACCCAAAAGAAGCACATTCATACAACAAGGACATCTGTTCAACGATGTTCACAGCAGCACTATTTGTAATAGCCAGAAACTGGAAGCAGCCTAGATGCCCCTCAACCGAAGAATGGATAGAGAAAATGTGGTAAATTTACACATTGGAGTACTACTCAGAAGAAAAAAAAAAACAATGGAATCTTGAAATTTGCAGGAAAATGGATGGAACTGGAAGAAACCATTCTGAGCGAGGTAATCCAATCACAAAAAGACAAACATGATATGTACTCACTCATATGTGGATTTTAAGACATAGAGTAAGGGATTACCAGCCTGCAATCCACACTGCCAGAGAAACTAGTAAACAAGGAGGACCCTAAAAGAGACAAACTTTGTCCTCTGGAGAAGGGGAAAGGGTTGATCCCCTGAGCAAATTGAGAGCATGGGAAGAGGGGGGAGGGAGCTAAGAGAATGAGAAGGGAAGAGGAGGAAGGATAGAGGGAGCAGAAAGGTTGAGTCAGGTGTAGATTAGAAGAAAGGATATGCAATAGGTAGGGTTTTAGTTGTGGGGGGTGATAGGGGAGGAGGGGAGGGAGAAGGGAACTGGGATTGTCATATTGTCATGTAATTCAATCTTCTTTGTAATTCAAATAAAAAAATTTAAAAGAAAAAGAAGGCAAAAAAAAAAAAGAAAATACTGGTACTTGCAGTTCTCTATGAGATAGCCATATATTCCTGGTTATTTCCTATGACAATGAGAGCCCATCTGTACAAATGAGATCACTTTATATGTAATTGACAGACATTTTCTTTCCCTCTGAAATGAACTGACATCACACATGATTGATTAGCAGAATTCTTACATGATTATATGATATTCTGACTCAGCCTAGAGACAGTGCAGATCATTTAACAAAGAGATTGATAAAAAAAATTCTATTTGCATAGATATTTTTCTGTTTGCTATTCCCCTATATGAGATGGCTCAGATCATTCAATAATTGTTAGGCTTTTAACATAGACATTTGGAATGTGGAGGAATGTTTTGTAATAACAGTGTCTCAAGAGACACAGACTCCAATATCCTGGGATTTTGCTGTGATGAAATTTTGCCTCAAGTTCTCCAGTTTGTGCTCTGCTGCACGGCAGCTTCAAGGACTTGAGATCAGCTGTTGGAAATAGTTGCTCAATATGCTCTGTGATACCAGCACAAGTGCCCTTCAATTTGAACTTCAGCATGGTACCAAAGTAAGTGAACAAAACATTAAAGCAGACTCTCTTGTTTAAATGAAGGAGAATCAATACATTTGGGACTAGCCAAGCTGTGTTCACAGGATGCATCAGCAAATATATGCACTTTCTTATTGCAGACACAGATTGATGAGATCACACTTTCTTGCTTACTCCTTACCCCACCACCTCCACACACATTTTCAGGTGTATCTGTGAAGATTCTCATAGGAACATAGGTGACCCAAAGACAGCTGCATCAACAGAAAAGTCCTCCCATGGAATGGGTGCCAACTTGCAAGAGGCATACCAATGCAAGAGTTCTTGCCTTACTTCTCTAAATGAAAAGAACATATATATATATTAGACTAGCTCACAATATATATATATTAGACAAGCTACAGTCCTGGAAGTTCAACAACAGTGATGGAAAGGCCGAGAACACAGTAGTTGTGCTGTCAACAAGGATGAATTAGACAGAATCACTTTGCCACAAGAAAGAAAGTGAAATACTGTAACAGAAATGGAAAGTAGTATTAGTTAATAGATCCAACATAAGGTAAAAAAAAAAAAACACAGAATCGGGCCGGGCGTGGCACGCGCCTTTAATCCCAGCACTCGGAAGGCAGAGGCAGGCAGATCTCTGTGAGTTCGAGGCCAGCCTGGTCTACCAAGCGAGTTCCAGGACAGGCTCCAAAACAATACAGAGAAACCCTGTCTCAAAAAATAAAAAAAACAAAAAACACATAATCACCATTTGGATGGAGTTTGGTGGCCATGGTTTTGAATTTTTCTTACTTCTAAGCCTCCATAAAGCTATAATAAAAAGATTTTAAAAACATACAATCACAAAACTGTAGGGAAATGAGAACTTAGTATTGTAAGAGTAAAACAGATGTAAGAGTAGCAACTTATTTAACAAACCTGAGAAAACCAAAGTAGGAAACATCTGAGGAGCTGCTGGAGCACTGTGGCTGGGGAATTAGAAATAAGGGTCTGTCTGCTGTGGAGTACAGTACAAGGAGGCAGGGTACAAGTCAAATGTGTAAAAGCATTAACCCCCTCCATCACCTCTGTAGGTCCTAGTCCTAGGTGACTGATGCTTCCTCAATGGGAGATTGGAATAGTTCAAGAGACAGCAAATCAGAGGACATCCTTGACATAGAAAACCAAGGCAAAGTCAGATGCTATTCAAACAAAAGGGATTTTAAAATCATCCCCTCACACCCCTTTTCCGACAGTGTCCCAGCAAATTTTAAAAAGAGAAAGCTTAATGATTCTGGCAAATTTTCTAAACAAATTGTGTTGGATAGTTTTATATAAGCTTGACACAAGGTAGATACTAGACTCATTTTGGAAGAAGAAACCTTAATTGAGAAAATATTGCCACTAGATTGGCCTGTGGACAAGCCTATGGTGCAATTTTTGTTGTTTTATTTTTTTGATTGTGTGTGTATGTGTGTGTGTGTGTTTGATGGGGGAGGACCCAGCTCACTGTGGGTGTTGCCATCCCTGGGCTAGTGGTCCTTGGTGCTAAAAAAAAAAAAAAAAACAGTCTGAGCCAGGTGGTGGTGACTCATACTTTTAATCCCTGCACTCACTGGGGAGGCAGAGGCAGGCAGATCTCTGTGAGTTCGAAGCCAGCCTGGACTGGCCCCATGGCTACTGAGAAACCCTGTCTTGAAAAACAAAAACAAACAAACAAACAAAAAAAAAACAGTCTGAGCAAGCCATCAGGAGCAAATAAAATAAAAAAGTTAAAAAAAAAAAAACTCAAAATGTCAATAAACTTGGCTTCAAGTTCTTTCGAGACAGGGTTTCTCTATGTAGCTTTGGCACTCGCTCTGGAGACCAGGCTGGCCTCGAACTCACAGAAATCCACCTGCCTCTGCCTCCCGAGTGCTGGAATTAAAGGCATGCACCACCAACGCCCAGCTG